TCAGAGTTTCCAACAGAGAGGAGTTCTAGAAGTTCTCCTCCCTGTCACCCACGATGAACTCAGGCTGTGGTTTTATTGCACGGCAAGGGGCAATTGTGAAAGTCACTCAGTCGTGTCTGACTCTTTGCGACCCCATAGACTGTATAGTCCAAGGAATGGTCCAGCAGCACAAGGGGCAATTGTGCTGTGGGAAGGGTAGGACTTAGTGATCAGATGGCCCTGGGTTCGAATGTGGACAGTGTGAACAGGTCAGGTCACTTACTCTCTTCTCAGGGTCTTCAGTGGTAAAGCAGAGCCAACAGAGCCTACTTCACAGGCTTGCTGTGGTGGTTAAATCACGCAATGCACGCAAGACGCCAGGAGTGGAGTGGTTATTCTACAAAAGCTAGTTCCCACCCCATCTCTCTCTCTCTTTATCCACCCCCTCCCCTGTCACCTCTCTCTTTCTCTCTCATGCACACATTTAGTTCTTGACCTAAGAAAGATTTACTGAGCTCCTGATATTTGCCAGGCGCTTGCTTGGTATTGGAAAATAGTGAACCAGACAAATTAGACTGGACAGAAGACAAGCCCATACACAAACAATAGTCATGTTTAGAGGAAAAGAGAACAAGGTGAGGGGAGCAAGCATCTGGGTTGGTTTGTGTTGACAACATTGACGCTGCGATGCTAAGTGAGGAGGGCACAGCTGCGACCCATGGGAAGTCTGTTCTGGACAAAGGCAGTGGAGGCGTGGTGGGGTTGCAGCGCTGGGCACGGGAGGGGCCCGGGGTCCCTAGCAGTCTTAGTGAGGAATTAGTGTTTGGTTCTAAGTGAGCTGCGAAGCTGGGGGGAGGTTTTTCTGTTCAGTGAGGATGTAGGAGTTTTCATGCCAGGGTAGAATTCCATTTCGTGAACATATCACAGTTTGTGTTTTTCACTGGGGAGAGACAGCTGGCTTGCTAGTAGATTTTTGCTTGTTTATCTCTCCATTGTGAGCACTTAGATAAGGGAAAGAAAGAAGCCCTTTAACAGAGGCGGGAAGGAACTCGGGTTACACGTGAACGTTGCTTGGCTGGGTTTTGTATGGGGCATAAAGACAAAAAAAATTTGTCTCTATGTCCTTATGTCTTAGAAATTTGATCTCATTGTGATCAAGTTAGAATCAAAGCAAGGTCTAGTGGAATGAAGGAAACCATCCCAAATCTTGGCAGGTTCAAAGACGCAACGTGATAGTGAAACCAGAGCACACAGCAAGGAGCAGTATTCTCATCTGTGGACACATAAGTCATCATGGTGAACACACTGGCAACGACCATACAATTATCTACATCAGTATAGATATCTGAAGACTTACTGAAGTTTGAAGAAGCCTTTGGGAAATTTCTCAGGGTAACCAACGTATCAGCTAATATACACTTGTGAAGCGTCTATGTTTGGCAAAGCATTCTAATAGATATTGGGCTCCCCTGGTGGCTCAGCTGGTAAAGAATCCTGCAATGTGAGAGACCTGGGTTCAATCCCTGGGTTAGGAAGACCCCCTGGAGAAGGGAATGGCTACCCACTCCAGTATTATTCTGGCCTAGAGAATTCCGTGGACTGTATAGCCATGGGATTGCAAGGAGTTGGAGATGACTTTCACTTTCACTTCTTCTTTTCTAAGAGTTTTGTAGGAAGTACACAGAAGTTTACAGAGTGCAGCAAGAGATATTGCAGACCTCACAGAGCTTGTACTCTGACTGTGAGTGGACACAGATATGTGAAATGCTGAGATGAAATACAAGGACGTGTGTTCGAAGTGTCAGATGACTGCTGTGTGCCCTCGGTTCTCTTGGACTCTAAGCTCCCCCAGAGCAGGGACTGCAGCCATATTCTTTCCATTGTGTGTTCATGTGTTTGAATGAAGGAGTGAGTAAAGAGACTGGAATTGCCCAGGAAAGACTTTGTGGGTAAGGAAGGTATTAGTGTGGAGAGTAAGGAGTGGTAGCTCTGAATCTGAAGAGGAGGAAAGAGGGCATGGAAGTGGTGAATGTTCTAGGTGATGGCAATGGGAAGACCCAGGGGGTTGGTGAGAGGAGGAAGCCAGGCTGTAGGAAAGGGCTCTTTAGGCAGAGAAGTGGGGAGAACTTGGAAGGACAGGATGGGCCCTCAAAGTCAAGGTCTTGAGTGCTGGTGAAGGAGTTTGATTTTTGTTCTACAGTTAATGAGAACACTTGCAGTGCTTCCAGCAGAGGCAAAAAACTGTGTTTGGGGGCTTCCTATTTTAGGGGGATGCAGAAAAGCGAGTGTCAGCTGGGGTGACAGGGATACCTGGGCCACCCCCTACAGCTAGGCAGGACGATAATGCACAGCGGCAGTCGGAGGGTGCCCAGGGGCCGTCAGAGGGGCAAGCCCAAACACACAAGCGCTTCTCAAGAGCACCCTATTTTCTGATGTCCCTTTGGCCAAGGCAAGTCACATGTTCACAACCAGATTTAAGGGGTGGAAAACAGGCTCTGCTTCTTGCTAGGAGGAGGGGAAAGCCACCAGGGAAAGGGATGAGAGTAGAGGGAAGAGTTTGTGGCCGTTTTTGAGGTCTACTTCCCTGGTCTTAGTGTGGTAAGTACCAAAGACAGGGAAACAACTCAGATCAAATATAAGTGAACCTCTGCCGACAGCTGCATAAAAGGAAATTAAACGGTCTAGATGGTTGGAGTGTTGAAAGATCAGAAATGCCACATGTATTGACTTTCTGGAATATGTGTCTAAATGTCACACATCTTAAATTGGATCTCGTTAATCTCTGCTTTGGAGAGGTTACTCCAGAAATTATCCAGGTTATTTCAGGCAGGTATTTAACTCAGCTCTCGGAAGCTGGGTGTTCAGAAAAATAGATACTTCTTTGTCTTTCCCTGGTTCTTTAGGGCACTGAGACACACAAAATAAAGATGTGCACAGGATTTAACTAGTTGGAAGTAGTTCCTGGTTTCTTATGAGCCTGTGGTAGTAGCAGTACTGGCTCAGGACAAGTTTCATGCTCTCCAAGTTCTCACCACCATTTTCTGGCATGAGGCATTCTATGCACAGTATTTGGAGGCCTTAGAAGCTTTTCAGGGGCCATAAAAAAGAGTTGGAGTCACGAAAAAAACTTTAATTCAAAATCACAAAAAGATATTTCAAAATAAGTACATCATAAAAATAATCTGCAAGCAATCTGTAGATTGTCTCGTTTCCTAGGAATTCTTAGAGATGCCAAAAGCTCATAGGCAATAGCAATTTAAGTGGCTTTCTTATACTCCCAAAATTTAAAAGTAAAATAAAATACTCCTTTGAAGTCATCTTTATTGTAAAACAACAACAACAAAAAGGTATTTAATGCAGAATGGGGGTAAACTACAGTAAGGCCCCTACATCTGAACCTTCCAGTTGTGAACTTTCAAAATGTGAACCTTTGTTCACATGTCCAATCACATAAGTCAGTTCATATGTCTGGTGTACACTGTTCCTTGTGTGCATCCGGTACAAGTAGCTGTGCTTTTGTGTCTTTACCACACAGAATTGTGTAGAGCACAGTGGTACAGAATTGTTTTAAGCCCAGGACCTTTGGAACCAAGTGTAAAAGCAGTGGTTGTTGTGTGTTAGTGGCTTAGTCGTGTCTGACTCTTTGGGACCCCATGGACAGAGGAGCCTGGAGAGCTATGTAGCCCACCAGGCTCCTCTGTCCATGGGATTCTCTAGGCCAGAACACTGGAGTGGGTAAACATTCCCCTCTCCAGGGGATCCTCCCAACCCGGGGATCGAACCTGGGTCTCCTGCTCTGCAGGCTGATTCCTTACAGTCCGAGCCGCCAGGGCAGCCCCCGAAGCAGCGGTATTCAGCCGACTGAGTTAGCGGGGCACCGAGAGTAACTCTGTTGGCCTTAGGGACTGCGTACCGGGAGGAGAACTTTCGTAGGGGACTGACACCGCCCAGGGAACTGGCGGGGCTGGTGCTGGTGAGGGGAGCGGACTGCAGCTGCCATGCAGGACTATAGATGATTGGCTTCCCTGGCGGCTCAAATGGTAAAGAATCCGTCTGCAATGCAGGAGACCTGGGTCCGATCCCTCGGTCGGGAAGATCCCCTGGAGAAGGGCATGGCAACCCACTCCAGTATTGTTACCTGGAGAATCCCATGGACAGTGGAGCCTGGTGGGCTACAGTCCGTGGGGTCACAGAGTCAGACACGACTCTGAGCGATTAACTTTTTAACTTTACCTCTGTTTGGAACCCTGGAGGGTCCTCAAACTAACTTCTGGGTGGAGGGACTCTGGGTGACCCGAGAACACCCCCGCCCTCCGATCCGGCAAGGGCCGCACATGCAGGGCTATTTACATCTTTCCGGTGGTGAGGTCCAAGGCCAGTGGCAGCCCGACCGCTGGTCAGATCCAGTGAAGCCAGGTTTCCGGGCTTTCCGACCCTTTTACTTACTTGGGCGGAGTGACGGTTCGCGCCGGAGACCTCCCGGAGGACACCGCCCAGGGAACTGGCGGGGCCGGTGCTGGTGAGGGTAGCGGACTGCAGCTGCCACACAGAGTCGTCCCCGGCGCGCCGTCCCCGCCCCCTTTAGCTCGCGCTCACGCGAGACCCAACCCCAACAGTGAGCTCCTCGCGGGGCTCTAGGCGGGAATTTGCGGGCTCCCGCGAGGGGCGTGGCCCCAAGTACCACCCGCCAGGCCCCGCCCCCGGCCTCACGCCCCCCCCCCCCCTCAGGGGTCCTCGGCTCTCTCCTCTGACGCGCGGCGCCTTCCTCTGACGTCAAGCCCCGCCCCCCGCCCCGCCCCGGCCCGCGAGGCGCCAGCCCTCCGCAGACCGAGCGGCTTTTCCTCAGGCGGTGGTTGAGACGGCGGCTGTGGCAGCAGCCGGGGTTGTGGTCACCGTCAGTGTAGCGGTCGACTGCCCGCCCACTCCCGTCCCGGCCGGCGGGGCGGCCGTCCAGCCCCTCGAGCCGGTAGGCGATGGTGCGGCGGAGCGCGCGGGCGGCGAGGCGGCGGGCATGAAGGAGGATGGAAGGGCAGGACGAGGTGTCGGCGCGGGAGCAGCATTTCCACAGCCAAGTGCGGGAGTCCACGGTGAGCGCCCTCCGCACGCCTCGTCGGCCTCTCCCCGCCTCCGCCCACCTTTCCTCCCTTGCCCTCCCCTCCTCCCTCAGCGTCCCCGCGGCGCGCCTCTTCCCCGGGCTCCGTCCCCCTCGTGCCTGCCTGCTCCCTATCCTGGCGCGGTTCCGTCTAGTCACCTGTCCGCCCCCGGGAGTGCTTCGGTGCCACCTGCGTCCTCCTCGCCCCGGGCTCGTCTTGAGCCGGTCACCCTCCCGGCGGTGGACCACGGCCCCGCAGACCATCCCGCAGCCGTGGCCCGCACCCCCGTGGCTCGGCTCCCCCGTGGCCCGGCTCCCCCGTGGCCCGGCTCCCCCGTGACCCGGCACGGTAGGCAAGTGTGCGGTCGGGTATCCGGCAGGGCCTGGGTGGCCCTCGCAGGCGCCGGGCAAGGGCCGAGCTTGGTCTCCTAGCCCTGCCCGGGAGCGAGCCTCCGCAGCCCGGCCGGGTTCCCTCTTCCTGGTTAGCACACACCTTTCCGAAACCTGACGTTTGGGTGTGAAGACCCAAGGTCGATGGGATTGAGAGCCCCGAACAGAAGTCCTTTGTGCCCTGGAAGCAGCATCTGAAGGGAGTCATCCGTTGTTGGTCCCCTGTCCTTCTGTGCTGCTACCAGGGGTCGGGAAACAGGCTTGGCCTTAGCAACCTACTTTGATGTTTTCACCTTTTCCTGTTTGCACTGGAGCATTTTGTGGTTGTGTGTATTTGTGTTTTTATAACAATGTAAAATATGTAAATTTGGGTGTATTTGTGTTTACCTCTTCTTTCTTCTAACTACTTTCTCTCAAACTCAGTCAGTCTCTTGGTTTTAGGTGGAAAATGCTGGTTGAGAATTGCCTTGTTTGTGTAGTTACTGATCTAGAAAATTGAGAACACTCTGCCAAGTCATACCTTGAAAGAAATAAAACGTCTGAACCGGTGGACTCTGATACAGCATATTTAGTTTGTGACTTGAAGCTGAAATAAACAGAAGTACATAAGCACCCATGCCCAGCCTGAAGCACTTTAAGCACACTGTTGTAGTCCTGAAACACAGACTGAGAAACAATATGGCTAGCATCCCAGAGGCCCATCCGGTTTCCTTGTCTGGTTCCTCTGTTCCACCAAGAGGAACCACTGTCCTGGCTTTAACAGATGAGCTTCGTTTTGAACTTAACATACATGGAACCTTATGGTATGCACTGTTCTGTGTCTGATTTCTTTCACTCATCAGCATTTGTGAAATTCCTCTGTGTTGTATGTGGTTGTAATTCATCCATAATGCTGTAGTTGTGTAAGTCTAGCATAGTTTATTTTTATTTTACTGTTGGTGGGCGCTTCTGTTGTTTTCAGGTTCTGATTACCAGCATTCTTGTATATGGCTTTTGGTGAATGTGTGTATGCATTTGTTAGGTCTGTACTTTAGAATGGAACTTTTAGATTATAGGTTGTGGGTTTGTTCATCTTTAGTAGATACTTTTAAGTAGTTTGCCAAAGTGGGTTGTACCAATTTACACTTCCACTGCCACTGTAGGAGAGGTGTGATTTGCTTCTCATCTGTACAAATACTTAGCATTAAAAAAAAATTTAACCATTCTGATAAGTGTCATGGTATTTATTGCACAAAAGATTTTATTTTCATTTCCCTGATGATAAGAATTTGAGCATCTTTTCATATATTTTTTTGGCCATTTGGAAATCTTTTGTGACGAGTCATCAGGTCTTTTCCCCATTTTTAAACGTGTTTATGTTTTTAATAGCAATTTGCAAGAGTTCTTTGTGTTTTCTGGATATGATCCTTTAGTCATATATATGTATATATATGTGTAGGTATATAGGAAGTCTTTTTTTCATTCAGTGGATTCCTTTTCACTTAATGATATCTTATAGCATACATTCTTAATTTTAATATAGTTCACTTTATCAGAATTTTTTCTTTTATGACTAGTGATTTTTTTATGTCCTGTTTGAAAAAATCTTCGGTTACTCCAAGGTTATGAAGATGTTCTCTTGTGCTTTTCTCTAAATGCTGTATTGATTTACTCCTCCTATCATCTGGCCACCTGATGCGAAAAGCTGACTCATTGGAGGGGACCCTGATACTGGGAAAAATATAAAGCAAAAGAAGAAGGGGGCGGCAGAGGATGAGTTGGTTGGATGACGTCACTGACTCAAGGGACATGAGTTTGAGTAAACTCCCGGAGATAGTGAAGGACAGGGGAGCCTGGCGTACTGCAGTCCCATCATGGGGTTGCAAACAGTAGAACACGACTTAGCGACTAAACAACAGCTACCTCCTATTTAAACCTACAGTTCATCTGGAATTTATTTTTTGTGTATGTTATAAAGTAGGAGTTGTATTTTTTTTTCTCACTTGGATGTCCAATCGCTTCAGCAGTATTTATGATCTTAGTCACAAATTGAAAGTCACTCAGTCGTGTCCAGCTCTTTTTGACCCCATGGACTGTAGCCTGCCAGGCTCCTTTGTCCATAGAATTCTCCAGGCAGGAATTCTGCAGTGGGTTGCCATTCTCTTCTCCAGGGGATCTTCCCAACTCAGGGACTGAACCTAGGTCTCCTGCATTGCAGTCAGATTCTTTATCATCTGAATCACCCGGGAAGCCCGATCACAAATTAAGTAACTGTATATTTGTGGGATTTAATTCAAACTCCGTGCAGTTCCATTGGTCTGTTTTGGCTGTATTTTAGATTAACCAGATATTCTTTTATTTGGATTGAGAAAAGTACCCATATTTTAGTAGCCAGGAGCTTTATTTTTTTTGTCCACTATCCTAGAAACAACTCAGTTTTGACACTGATTCTAGAATTCCTTAGTTCTGCTCCTCCTCACCCCTACCTCTCCTGGTCCAGGACCCTTGGATGGTAGATATACTCTGTTGCTGCAGAACCAGTGCAGACAGTGACCAGGCTTAGTGAATTTCCAGTCTTTGGTTTTCCTTTCTTGAAGTATTCATATTTAGAGTGAGTATAAATGCTTGATTTTCTCCAGGACTTGTCACCAATTTTTTTTTTCATTTATTTTTAAAAGTAGATTTGTTTTTGAAGTCTGAGTTTGTTTCTGTTTTGTAAATAAGTTCATTTGTATCTTTTTTTTTAAGATTCAGCATATAAGTGAAATATGATATTTTTCTTTCTCCTTCTGACTTCAATTAGTATGATAATCTCTAGGTCCATCTGTGTTGCTGCAAATATGGCATTATTTCATTCTTTTTTATGACTGAGTAGTATTCCACTGTGGAGGAGGCAATGGCAACCCACTCCAGTATTCTTGCCTGGAGAATCCCAGGGACAGGGGAGCCTGGTGGGTTGCCATCTGTAGGGTCGCACAGAATCGGACACGACTGAAGCGACTTAGCAGCAGCAGCAGTATTCCACTGTATATATATACACCACATTTTCTTTATTCATTCCCCTGTTGATGGATATCTAGGTTGCTTCCATGTCATTGCTATTGCAGATAGTGCTGCAGTGAACATTGGGGTTCATGTGTCTTTTCAAACTGATTTTCTTTTTTTTTTTTTGAGGTCAAACTGATTTTCTTTGGATATATGCCTAGCAATGGGATTGCTGGATCATATGGTACTGTTACGTTTAGTTTTTAAGGAACTTCCATACTGCTCTTCATAGCGGTCACACCAGTTTACATAACCCACCAGCAATGTAGGAGGGTGCCCTTTTCTCCGCACCTTCTCCAGCATTTACTGTTTGCAGATTTTCTGATGAGGGTCATTCTGATCAGTGTGAGGTGGTGCCTAAATGTAGTTTTGATGTACATTTCTTTAATAATCAGTGATATTGAGCATCTTATAATGTGCTTTTTGGCCATCTGTATGTCTTCTTGGGAGAAATGTCTATTTTGATCTTCTGCCCATCTTTTGGAGGAGGAAATGGCAACCCACTCCAGTATTCTTGCCTGGAGAATCCCACGTACAGATTAGCCTGACAGGCTACAGTCCATAGGGTTGCAAAGAGTCAGACATGACTGAGCAACTGAGCACACCCATTTTTAGATTGGGTTGTTTGTTCTTTTGATATAGAGCTCCATGAGTTCTTTGTACATTTTGGAGATTAATCCCTTGTCCATTGCTTCATTTGCAGACATTTTCTCCCATTCTGTGGGTTATCTTTTCATTTTGTTTACAGTTTCCTTTGCTGTGTAAAAGCTTTTAAGTTTAAGTCTCATTTGTTTGTTTTTATTACTCGAGGAGGTGGATACAAAAAGATATTGCTGCGATTTATGTCAGAGAGTGTTCTGCCTATGTTTTCTTTTAATAGTTTTATAGCATCAGCCTTATTATGTATAGCCCTTTAATCCATTTGAGTTTATTTTGTGTATGGTGTTAGAGAATATTCTAATTTCATTCTTTTACATGTAGCTGTCCAGTTTTCCCAGCAGCACTTATTGAAAAGATTGTCTCTTCTTTATTTTAGATTCTTGCCTCTTCTGTCATAGATTAACTGACCATAGATGCATAAATTTATTTCCAGGTCTTCTATTATGTTCCATTGGTCTATAGTTCTGTTTTTTTGTGCCAATACCATATTGTTTTGATTCCTAAAGCTTTGTAGTATAATTTGAAGTCAAGGAGTCTGATTGCTTCAGCTCCATTTTCCTTTCTCAGGAATGCTTTGGCTATTTGGGGGTCTTGTGTTAGCATACAAATTAAAAATTTTTTTGTTCTAGTTCTTTGAAAAACGAAATTGGTAATTTGATGGGGATTGCATTGAATCTGTAGATTGCCTTGGGTGGAATAGTCATTTTGATAGTATTGATTCTTCCAGTTTAAGAACATGGTATATCTTTCCATCTGTGTCATTTTTGACTTCTTTCATGAGGGTCTTATAGTTTTCAGAGTACAGGTGTTTTTGCCTCCTTAGGTAGGTTTATTCCCAAGTGTTTAATTCTCATTTCTATCTTTTGTTGTTAATGTATAGGAATGCAACAGATTTCTGTGTATTAACTGGAAATATAGTAA